GAATCCGCTTTGTGCTTAGTGAAGCAGGAAGCACTGTGCTATTGGCGCTTCCTGGTTTGGAGCTGTCAGAAGCCAATGGAAGTGCCTGGAAAACAGATGCTCAAGCACAGTCCAGTGCTTGATCGTCTGTATTGGAGGGCTATGTCTAAAGAGAACCTGTCACATGCCGTTTGCCCCTTTTGTGATAGCAAAAGTAAAAAAAAAAAAAACAAAACCCCTGATGCCCCCGCCATCTGATTCGAATGAACATATGCGAGTCGCCATTTACAGAGACTTGGAAACCCGGCACAGCCAGCAATATACATATATTCAGTTTATTGGCTCTAGACTAGTTATATGCATTTGCTGATCTCAAAAAATGACTCCATGATTTTTGGTGGAATACTTAATTGAGCTTAAAATGGGTTTTATGTGCTTGCTTGGAGTGTTTTGTTTTTTTATGATTAAAAAAAAAAAGGTGTCTGTCTGTCACACACAAGCACTGTTTATAATGCTCCATATCTCTCCCTTCTCTCCCTTCTTTCCCCTTCTTCAGAACGCAGTAATAGCAGCTTTGTCATCAAAAGCATGGGACGTAGAAACTGCAACAGAATTACTCCTGAGTAACTGAAAGAGGTCGCCTGAACCCCGCTCGCCCCTTCCTGAACAGCACGCCATCTGTAATTTTTAGGATTCTGCATCAAAGAAAAATCCACAACACAAAAGCGGCACTCCTGCGTGACAATGCTATTTAAACCGTTCTGGAGACTGATGGGGAAAAGAAACTGCTCTGTAAATAAGGCAAATTAAACGTGTAAATTAAACAACAACCAAACAGAGGGGAGGTGGGGGGTGAGCATCCTTCTTTTTTTTTCTTTTCTTTTTTTTTTTTTTTTCCTTTAATATTGTAAAAAAAATAAAACAAAAAAAAAAAAAAACCAGAGAGAGAAATCTCGGAGCTGAACCAATGGGAAAATATGCATTTGTGTTTTACCGTGTTACCGAGAGCGGCACAAGGGCCCATTATGTTTTTGGTTTTCTGCTTTGACCTCCTTTTGGAGGAGAAACCCCTGGCAGACTCGTTCTTTGGAGAGCTAGGCCTTCATTTTGCCATTAATGTCTACAATACTGCTAGAACCGACCATTCTTTGTGTCTGTGGACTTGCATGCATGTACACCGTATCGGTTCAATTCATTCATCAGAACAATACATCTGTAATATGTTTGCTATTTTGAGTTTAGATTGATCTTTCTTTTTCCGGGTTGCTGGAGACAAGAAAATGATCACAATGATGAATAATTCACACATCTGGCCGTGGCGGTTTGGTTTGTTTTCCAGCCGTTTGTCAATGGGAATCTGTCATGAGGGATGATGAGTGGTGGAGAAAAAGCTTCCATTCTCTGGCATTGTCCTCTCCTCAGTTTAGGGTCTACACATGGACCATAGGCTATAGTTCCTGCTGGGACATGTATGTCTGTGTGGAAGATGATGATCATAAACTCATCATCTCCTCTGACACTGATAAATGAAATGGGTCCACCTTCACTGCCCCAGAGCTAGTGTGTAGGCCAGGAGTTGAAGAGTGGCCACTGTAACCAAAGGAGGGAGCTGCTTATCCATCACATGCCTTTTCCTCACCACAGATTCCAGTTCTTCTCCAAGTCCCAGCTGTTGCTCAGGAGTGCTGGAACTTGTAGCTCCGTAAAATTGCTACAAACTGACACATTTCCACAAACACTGTATGCTTCAAGGATGGAAGGAGCCAATTAATGAGAAAGCAAATTCAACAATTTGGTCTTTAGCTCTGAAACTGACCCTCCCAAGTACAAATTGCTCAGTCATTGAAATCATGGTGTGTATTAGCAATGGTTTCCTAATGTAGTTTAATAGATTGACTCCAGAAGTGTCTTTAGTTCTTTATTCTTTATTGAACAAACTAATCTTAGCTTTTCTAAGACTTTTCACAATTGTAGACCTTTGCTGAGGTTAAAAGGAGTTCAAAACCAGCAGTCTACAGGTTTGGTGCTTTAGGTATATGTGACCCACTTATCGGACTTCCTTTGTAGGCCTTGTGTAGAGAGATGTTGTGACCTTTGTGCCATGTTAGCGCTGGCATTCCAAGGCTGTCCTGGTGGGAGGCATGTGGGATTAAAGGTGGCCAGAACACTGCTTCGATTTTTTGACAGGTTGCAGCATTGAAATGAACAGCTTGAAGTAGCTGCCTCTACAGTAGGGCTGAATAAATCCCAGGAGCCAGGTAACCAATGCTCCTTAGAAACTGCTAGCACCTGACTTGGAAGTTTTCTCTAGGATTGGCCAGACTGGCTCCTGAATTCCATATTTTGTTGTCCACCCCTGCTCCTCTACAGTATGTGCTGAATAGCTGTGTTGTAACAATGTTCAGCCCGCTGCCTGGGAGCTGCACACCTTCTTCTATATCCTTATATGTGCAGTGTATGATCATACCTTGTGACTTATTCCATATGCTGTGCGAATGTGGGCATAACCGACCTGCATCTCAGTGGAAGGTACACATGTATGATTGTGTACCAGATCTGATAGGGTCACACTGTCATCTTAGCCATCGAGTTCAGGTTCTTTTAGATTACATTGGGAAAATTATGCATGTAGCTGTTTTAGTCTGCCACATAATGGATGGCAGTGGGTCTTGTGTCTGAAAGAACACATAGCAGATCTATCTGGCACATGAAAGGGAGAATCTTGTTGAAGACTTTCTGGGTTTGAAGTATAATAGTGAGAAGAGAATTCTAAATAGATTTAGGAGTTCAAAACCAATAAACACCCCTAGCAACCAATCACAATGTTCTTTAGCTTCAATGAGGAAAAAAGTGTCTGCTTTTTTTGCTGTTTGATTAGAGTTGTACAGTAATTGATTTGGTAGTCCATGCTTTTCCCAAAGCTGTCCTTGGGCCTCAGCAGCAGTACATGCTGTTTTTTTGGGAACACGGGTGAATCCAGTTTCGGATTAAAGTAAGCAATAGGATTTCACTGTACTTTGAGAAATGCAAAGCATGCGTGAACGGTGAACACACTAAGGGCAATTATAAGAGCCTATGTCAGTGGTGGCGAACCTTGGCACTCCAGCTGTGCCAAAACTACAAATCCCAACATGCATCTGCCTCTGGGAGTTATCTATGCGGCTGTCAGAGCCTTGCAATGCCTCATGGGACTTGTAGTTCCAAAACAGCTGGAGTGCCAAGGTTCGCCACCACTGGCCTATGTACTAGCCAGTCGCAGGCTTCATTCATGCAGAAGAACATACAAGCAGTGCGTTTTCATGGGCAGTGTTCTGCCTGCAATTGGACTACTTTCCCAGTGTGCCAGGAGCCTTAGAACACAATGGGAAGCTGAATGACCACTACATAACAATGACCTGGCCTTTGTTGTTGCCAAATGTTCAATGCACATTAGAATAACTGATGATTGGCAGGGGTCAGAACTGTCTGATAGCTTCCACAAACTGCCAGGAAGGGTTCCTGTATGGTCAAGCCCTTAAAACAAGTGCTTTCATAAGCAAAACCGTGGAAACCATTCCCATCCATAGACCACATTTCTTATTATTTTTAACTTGTCTGCTTGCTGTTCCTTCTTGATTGTGCAGATAGACACCAGATTATATCATTTTAGGGTTCACTGGTTCATGCAAAGTGAGTCCTTGCATTTTTAAAGAGCTGCATAAAATGAACTGAATCCAAAGTTCCTCTTCTGTAATAAACAATTCAATGAAATAAAGTAAGTCTTTGAGGATTCTTTTTAATCTACGGTTTGCTATAAGACATAAACAAGACCATTTGCTTACTCATATCTTGGCCTTTCTCAGACATGTCGCCAAATGCACCCTTAAAGATGAATATGGTACCGAAAGTATGTTGTTTACCTTCATATTTTGTAGGTCTGTGCCATTTGCAGTAGCCCAAATAACTGTTTTAAAGGAAACATTGAGCTATCAGACTATTGGAGTCATTTGCATACCCGTGGTACATTCCACACCATCTGACAGAGGTTTGGTATGTTTGGAATAGTGCAACAAATAAAGTTTAAAAAAAAAAAGAAAAAAAAACTTCTAAAAGATAAACGTGTGTGATTTTTATTTATCACTTTTTAAAAGATTGTCAGTAATATTTTGTGAATTATTAAACAATGCATGGTTGTTTTTCTTTTTGACTTAAAGTAAAGCAAGAAGAAAATATGAATTTAATGGCTTGCCAGGTAGGAATGTGATATTGTATCAGATTTGGGTTTTCGAGGTTAAAATGAAGAAAGTAGCTCAAATATAGCTAAAACCTCTCATTATAGATGTGTTTAATATATTGTTACTTTGTAAACTTGCGTTAAATATGGAAGCTGTCATTCCTGACCTGAAAATGCTTCCATATGTAGGTCCTGACCGGGAAGAAGCATGCAGCAAGTCAGAACTCCTGGTCTGCATGGTAATTCTGCGTCGTCAGCTCTGCATTGACTGCTTTAGATCAGTGTGACCACCAAGTAGCCCTGGGGCCCTTTTTTTTTTTTTTCAGTTTTCTTTCAGGGCCCATTCGCACCTTTCTGTTCTAGTGTGTTGCGTTAAAGAGGAACTTCACCCATATCTTCAAAATACACCAAAAACCTTTCAAAATGTTTAGTAATTGCAATCTGTAAACAGATAGATATAGATCATTGCAGGCTTTTTATCCTTCGCATACCGTAAATTGAAGGACACAGTTTTTCTGCCTAGCATCGAGGAATATTAATCTAACTCCCTGCTAGGGATCTCTGGTCGCCTTTTTCTCCATACTGATCTATATGAGCGACAGGCTAGATAATATAGATCCTTCTAGTCTCTATAGCTCAGCCATCGAGCACATGCGGTACCCGACTGTGAAACAGGTTCCGCTGCGACAGCCCCAGCTGGGTTTGGCGCCCTGTTTCTCTCTGTGCCCATTTCCTGTGCA